GAACCCAGGGTACTTTGTGATGATGTATTTTGTATGAATAAACTGAGAATCATTTTTTAAGATTTCTTCAAGTAATCGCTCTGTATTGTCCTCAGAGTGTACATCACAGTCAATATTGTTCCATTGATATCTGCAGCACTCTGCTACGGCTTGTATTATAGTTCAGATGCCAACAGTATTGATCTTATTGTTTTGTACCACATATAGATGTGTTTCAGCAAAANAACATTCAAGATTCATATGTGACAACTTTATTGGAATTCATTTGTGTTTGATATGGCTGTAATTTCGAACAGACCCTGGGTTGGGAAAGTGCTCCAGACGGGAACGGTGTTTGAAGGGCAGAGTTGAGAATAGTGGATTAGTGAAACTGCAATATGAAATTAAACCACAAGCAAGCGTTTCAAGCTTGCGATTACTGGAGAACCCAGGGTACTTTGTGATGATATATTTTGGTTGTATGAATAAACTGAGAATCATTTTTTAAAGATTTCTTCAAGTAATCGCTCTGTATTGTCCTCAGAGTGTACATCACAGTCAATATTGTTTCGTTGATATCTGCAGCACTCTGCTACGGCTTTTATTATAGTTCAGATGCCAACAGTATTGATCATATTGTTTTGTACCACATATAGATGTGTTTCAGCAAAATCCATTGCATCTTCAAGAACCCAAATGAGCTGATATCGTTGACTGGTGGTCGATACCAATTTATTCGAGAAAATACCTTGTGAACATCATAAGCTTCCCAAAGTTCAGATAATCCGAGACCGCAATGTTAACCAAATGATAAGATGGCCTCTCAAATTCCTACATGATGATTTTTGGCCATTTCCTTTCATATTCGAAGAGGTGTCTTAGGGCGATATGCCAGCACCTCGGGGCTCCTAATGTTATTCAGTGGGTAAACGGGAGAACATATAAGGCCTTGTGCTTTATATATTCATAATGTTAATCAAATGATAAGATGGCCTCTCAAATTACTTTATGATGATTTTTGGCCATTTCCTTTCATATTCGAAGAGGTGTCCTAGGACGATATGCCAGCACCTCGGGGCTCCCAATGTTATTAAATGGGCAAAGAGGAGAACATATAAGGCCTTGTGCCTTCTCCTCAATGGGCTTGGNCGGGAGAACATATAAGGCCTTGTGCTTTATATATTCATAATGTTAATCAAATGATAAGATGGCCTCTCAAATTCCTACATGATGATTTTTGGCCATTTCCTCTCATATTCGAAGAGGTGTCCTAGGGCGATATGCCAGCACCTCGGGGTTCCCAATGTTATTAAATGGGCAAAGAGGAGAACATATAAGGCCTTGTGCCTTCTCCTCAATGGGCTTGGCTTATTATGGGAATGCACAGTCATTCCGTGACCGATGACAAGTTTTAACTTGTCAAGGGTTCGATTGAATGGTATAATAACTATGCTGTTATTACCATTCTCGATTAAAGTCCAATCAAGGACTACTCTATTAGGTGGTTACATTGCGGTTTATTAATTCATAAGAGCTTATTTCGTTGATCTTTTATGTCCCTCTGAAGAGAAATCCTCCCCGATATTCATTAATTCATCAATCACCACAGTCACGACACGATATCAGACGAAACGCCAACCACCAGATCGTCGTCAAACATCAACTGGAATGATCAACTTCAACCCAATAAAAATAAATAAAAAATAAAACAAATTAAAAAAGAAAATAAAAAAATAAATCAAATAAATAAAAATTAAACAAAATAAAATAAAGAAAAGAAATCAAAATAAAATAAAAAATAAATGAAAAAACATAATTCAAAGAAAAATATAATGAAATGAAACTTGATAATTTGATATTGTATGATATTAATTTGTAATCTAGATTCATATAATTCATTGTATTCTCTATGTTCATTAATAAGACTCGAATGTTTCATTGTTTTCAAAACTTTTCTTTACATTTGTAATGTTATTGAATGATACTCTCTGTAATTGTTTTGTGTCATATTGCTTTATTGATTTGTAAGTCTTTTGAGATGGCTGGCTATATCATTGGTCTCTAATGGCAGTTAGCGGTAAACAGCAAACGAAGTGAA